GTTCACTTACTGGCTTGTGTATGTTACCATTCCTGATGTATATATTTTATATAGTTTTAATACAAAACTCTACATATAAAAAAAAATGGGGGGAGGGCAAGAAGTCACCCAACGTCAACACAATGGGGCAGTTTAAGAAAAACATTTCATCCCTAACTCTGATTTGGCACAACCTCGTTAAAGTAAAAGCCTTAACAATATTTCAACAACAATTTAAAAAACAAGTAATTAATGTGACTGGGAGCTGAGAATAGCATTAACATATATTTATGGAAATTTATTAAATGCACATTATTGTTTTTTACCAGCAAGTTGTTCAGGGTTGTCTCATGTCAATCTGCATTTACTAACTTTTAAAAACTGTTGACTCAATAAACTTCAATCTATCATATCAATGTGGTTATGTACAAAGTATGCTGCATAATGTATCACAGATGCACTAATTCTATGGATGAAAAGCATTTGAAACACTTCTGAAAGTTGTTGCACATGTGCAACAGCTGTGTTTCCAAGATAAACATATTTGTGTATGTTTAAAAGGCATTTTTTCAAATACAGTACTATAGCAAGAGTGTAGTAAAATCTGTTGAAAATGAAACAATTTTCAAAATAAAATGTTAAAGAAATGCAAAAGATGGCATATAAAACCACCACCTTCTATTTATTCACATTTACTTTACCACGGCTTATGAGAAATGTTATATTTAAAAAGATGCCCCTGGTTTCAATTAGAGAGCCTGCTGTATATTGCAAGGATACAAAATAGAATCCTAAATATGGTTTTGAAGAACATAATGAAACTTGTATTTTGCTAATTTATCAAATCAATGGACCAGAAGTACATTGTTAAAGGTTCTGCCCACTCTCCCCTCCTATCCAATATACATATTAATCCCCTTGGTCCCTTCGAGTGCCGTCTTTGCTCTGCAGGAATGCTTGAATAATATTGCCAACTGTATGCATTATAGTCTTCTTATTGAGTGCTTGATGAAGTTGCGATTGCCTGCCTGAGGTGCTCCCTTCTCCTTTTGCTCCCCGCACTTGTCTTTCAGAGAGGTTTATCCAAGTTAAGAATCTTGGTTTCACTTTTGACCATAGCCTGGCCTAGGGTTGCCAACTCTCCAATCACACAAACCCAAACACCCTTGCTCTGCCCCTTCCCTTAGGCCCCACCTACTCCACCCCGCCTCCCTCCATCTCTCGCTCTCCCCCACCCTCACTCACTTTCACTGGGCTTGTGCAGAGGATTGGTGTGTGGGAGGGGGTGTGGGCTCTGGGCTGGGAGGTGGGGACGAGGGGTTGGGAGGGGGCTCCAGGTTGAGCCTGGGACAGGAGGCTGGGGTGCAGAAGAGGGTGTGGGGTGCAAGCTCCGGCCAGGAGGCGCTTACCTCGGGCGGCTTCCAGGCAGCGGGGCCAAGGCAGGCTCCCTACCTGCCTTGGCCCTGCGCCGCTCCCAGAAGCGGCTGGCATGTCCGGGGGGGTGGGAGGGACGCAGGGGGCTCTGTGTACTGCCCGTGCCTTCAGGTGCCCCCCCCAGGGCGGCAGGGACATGCCAGCCACTTTTGGAAGCGGGGCAGGGCAGGCCTTAACCCCGCTGCACCACCAGACTTTCAGCACCTAAAATCTCCCAGTTTGCCTTCAGTAGCCTCCAGGAGATAGGGCATGATTCCAGGAAACTCCCGGCAAAACCAGGAGGGTTGGCAACCCTATGGCCTGCCCATGGAAGCAGGAAACATATCTGACACTGTAAAAAAGTGTGTTTTTTGGTTGTGCAATCTGCATCTTAACCATTTGATGACCTCATAACAGCAACACAGACTCTAGTAGGGTGACCAGATGTCCTGATTTTATAGGGACTGTCCCGATTTTTGGGTCTTTTTCTTATGTAGGCTCCTATTACTCCCCGCCCCCGTCCCGATTTTTCACACTTGCTGTCTGGTCACCCTAGACTCTAGTGACAAATCTGGTTTACTGTAAATCCCTTGTCAGTCCTCTCATTGTGGCTACTCCTTCGCCCACAGTTTCTTCAGAACGTTGCATCACAGTTGCTCCGGGGCTTGAGCTACCATGATCACACTGTGCCTGCCCTGTATGCCTTAGAGTTGGTGGCTATAAAGGAGCAGTTTAAAAATCAGCAGTCCCAATTTTAAAGTCATAGACCCTAATGGCTTTGGATCCTGATTATATCAAGGGCTACCTACTAGTGGAACTTGTACTAATGGCTCTTACTAAATGCCTTTGAGATGGACATTATCAACTTGAAAACTAGACATTTTCTAAAAACAGAGTTAAAATAATTTCAGCTATTATACCTGTTGCTAAATCACCCTGTTAATCTCTGCAGCTTCACAATAGTTTCCTTTTTTATAACGTTTTTTCATTCCGGTTGCTACATGAAAAATTCACTCAAAAACAATAGACTGACTGACTACACAGGAAGAGAATGAAAATGTCCATTATATGCCAAGTACTAGCTCATCAGCTGGTGTCAGTCAGCATAGCTCTATTAAAGTCTGTGGAGCTACAGCTGCCGTAAAAGTGAAGATCATGTCCAAGTTGCTGACAAACGAACAAAGAAATGAGACAGGAATTTTTCTTCCTTCAAACTCCAAATTTAGTAATCTGAGGTGCTATCTGCAACATTAGTAGGTGAAACGATTTCAGATCCAAGTCCAATATTGAAATTGAAAGCCTCTCTTTTACAAGCACACAATTCCTTCTGAAGTAGACAGGAAATCATGCTGCTGTTCTGTTGGATCCTGCATTGTGAAACACATCTCCACGAAACCTCCTCATTTTGTGTTGTCCAACCATCCAAAGGGGCTTCCAGAAAAACATTTCTGTTCTCCCAGTTCCTTTCTTTTTTCTCTCTCAAAGTCATATCCTGCCATTGCTATTTTAGAAGTGTGGCATCTTACTGATATTATATTTGTTTTCTCCTTTTCTACAGCAGCTCCAGGGTTTTCAAAAATACTATTCTATATACTACTCAATCAAATGAAAAACTTTATAAGTATTTAGGCCTTTTCTAGAATCAGAGTCGCTCGGGTTTAACCATAAATTGGGTGAAAAACTGATTTAGTTAAACCTGTGCATTGTGGATAATCTTAATCAAATTCAAATCAGGTTTATATCAATTTGTCTTAAATTGATTACATTTAAATTTAATTAATATAAAACAGATTAAATTGCATTGAGTGTTTCTAGTTTTTCACTGGTGTAAATCACACTTTTGGTAAAACTGGTGCAAATTTTAATACAGACAAGGGGTAATGTTTTCAAAAGAGCCCAAATGATTTAGGAGCCTAAATATTTTAAGAGGCTCTAAGTGCCTCTGTCACTAATGAAAATTTTAACTAAGGCCTTAATTCTTCAAATTCTCTTTTTACATAAAGCACAAATATAAGGTTTTATCCATTTTCCAATAGATTTTGGCCAGATGGAGTTAAATTTTAGCAGAAGCATTCAAAAGGGTTTATCCTTCAGGTGATAAGAGAAAAGATACAATTATTCTGTTTCTTAATAATACAGACTTGTGTTCGACCTCTCATGCTCCAAGTGTTAGGCTTTGTCTACACTGGCAAGTGAAAGACAAAACTTTTGTCATTCCGAAATGTTAAAAAAATGAAACACCCCCCCCCCCAAAAGACAGAAGTTTTGCTGACAACAAACACCAGTTTGAACGGCGTTTTGTCGGCAGGCTAACACAGCTTATTGAGGGTGGAAGTTTTTTGTCGGCAGGAGATAGGGCTACACTGCCTATCTTTTAGTGGTACGGCTATAGCGGCACAGCCGTGTCGCTAAAAACTGTGTAATGTACACATAGCCTTAGTTGTTCTACAGGCTTCACATTTTTAATGGCAGTTCTGACTTGAATCCTAGAGCAGTGGGAGACAGGTGTGAAGAATGGAAAAACAGTTTTAAAGCAACTACTGGGTGTGTAAAAACAACTTCAAAAAAATTCTCAAATGTTAACTGTTGCCTAGTGCCTCTAATGAGAGAAAGCCGCTATGACGGTTGCCTCTTGTACTCTTTCCTGTTTTGTTAGCAAAACAAAATATGAACCAGGACTTTAAAAGTTTCCAGCTACAGAAGAATTTAGATGGGCAATATATTTCAGATTTGCTTTATGCAAGGTTTTTGCTGGGAA